TCTTTTATACATCGAGTCAGCCTCATAAAATTCTGCATCAAATTTTACTCCACGACACCCTCATCTCCGCCATCAATCGCTTATCTGTGGGGTTATTCACCTCGTTGACTAATACGAATAATGAGTTTGCGTGAATTGTTCCGGGGTCTTGACCTGTACCCCGGAAACCGTCGTTGGCCTCAAACAATACATTCCGGTTTGACAGCGAGTTTACCCGCGCTGCACCCCGGAGACCAGGCATTATTCGGGATGGGGGACACGGGTTTAAGCTTGTTTGAACGGGCCGTACTGGAGGGTGACTGGAAGGGTAGTAGGGTAAGGCGACTTGAGACGATAGACGTGCTTTGACTGTTTTTTCCCTGCTGAAGGTTGTGCCGTACCCTAGAGGATGCTCCGTTGTCATTTTGCCAGAGAATTAGGGATGGCATTGAGGCTCATAGACTGTATCCCGGATAAGCTCTTGCCACATAATAATTTCTGGATATTGCATTGAATACTCTGTACCTTTTGGCTGTAATTGATGATCTTGTCGCTCCCGCCTCATATCCAACTACTCTTCGGACAGTTGCTCCACTCAGAAGTTGAACTTGTGTTGTACAGGTAGGCATAACCAATTTTATCTCTGTTCATTCGATTCCTCACTACAGCCTTCTCCATCTATCGGAAGGACTGCCCAAAATACCATTATTCTGAGTCTGCCGTGGTCAGTCAAGATATGTAACAAGATAAGAAAAAAGCCAGATAGAGTGCACGTCTCGGAGTTTTAAAATTCCCTGGTCATGTGTCCTAGCCACTATGCGCATATTGCCTTCCAAAGCCTGAAGTTTACTGGGATTTTTGGTGTGTTGGCTTAATATGTCTCGTTGAGATGTCACAAGCTCTAACTATCAATCAATCAACATGTCAGCAAATCCGCCACAGCTCCATGATCAACCTTACTCTTGGTCACAATATTGGAGCAATCTGGCTTTGGCTAACACGACAGCCAGATTGCTTCTGTACTTCTCGAGCTGCATTTTCTTCGCCCCCAACTCCTCCATGTCTTCCTTTTTATACACATACAGTGCTAACTCCCCTAACCCCTTTGCCTCGATAGGCATCGCGCTGCACATATAATGCTTGGTCGTCGGCACAAGCTTCAGTGAAAAGTATACAGTTGGCGACATGTTTATGGTGGCTTCGCTTGACCCTGAAAGTATATCTGCGCAAAACTTTATTGAGACCGGGAGAGTTTGGACCACAAAGTCACGTATCACAATCAAAAATATTTAAACAGCGCCCTTGCTGTGTCTTTCAGTATCATTCACCTCTCTCATCACAGTCCCAAATACTCACTCCTGCGCTCGAGTGGAATCCCTAAAACAAGGCCAAAATGAGGCCGGTAGTACCAGAAGAAATCGGCGATTTGCTGAAGTGGCGACCACTCATGCTTTTTAACAAGACCCTCTTAGGACCTGCATATATAGAGAGTGTTGTGTCTTGCTCGCCGGCACTCATCGCTTCCCAAGGAGGCAAAAGACTACCACTTGAGGTCTGGTACATGATTATCGACTTCTCGAGTCGCAGCCCCGAGACTCACCGGTATTCTCTCGTGCGACCCAAGTTACTACGGAAAAGCGCGGGAGGCGACGAACTGGTATGCGAGAGGTATCAACGCTGGTTGCCCTTCGGTAACATCAAGCACCTCAAAGGGATCGAGATGTATCACTTCTATTTGGCACATCCGGACAACTTATACCATTCGAATCGGGATCCATTATACCCCAATCCCTTCTACTATCCATTTTCCCGCTTTTCGCCCTGCACCTTTCCCACGGCTTTGCTCGCATCAAAGACCAAGTTTCTCCGCGTGGAGCTCACGGTCCCAGATGTAATCAAGTATCTTGAGGACGGCTATTGCAGCTCCTGCTATGGAAAGCACGTGGTAGGGTCCGAGATTGTACTGGGGACTTCGCCCCGCTGGACCAGGTTTTCGCAGTTGCTTGGTGAGTCAATCACAGTGTTCCCGCCGGGACTTTTTATTTGCCCGCTCTGTGTCGGATTTGAGCACGCGTGGGAAAGTATTGATGCGTGGGGCTCTCACAATTTGACCGTACAGGAGTATAATGTGACCCGGAAGGAGTATAACTCGTGGCTGCTTGACCGACTGGAAAGCTTGGGTTACGAAAGGCCACGTTTGGAAGATCTCCCAGATTCGATCGAATGGATTTCCAGGCTAATGTCAGGCTCTCCATCTTGAACACGCCGAAACTGGGGACATGATTTTTGGGTTGGTAAAGGCGGTCATATTATGGTTAGCATTGAACCTACTGAGCTTTGTGTGGCCTGTAAAAGGTCTCAATATTGTACGGGACAAGGCAACGCTACGGTCACTTTATACAGGGCATTCGTTGTCAACAAATTTCCTTTCATTTTACTCTAAATGATCCGGGATCTATTACACTTAACACTGTCATACATGAGACACCGGCGGAATTTGGCGATTCACGCTTGGTGGTACAGCCACGGGCCGATGACGAAGCCGGAGACGAATATCACGCAACCGCATGCACCCTTATCAATGTTCGGCGATCTAACTTGATCGAAACAACCACCATTACCGATCGAGGGGTTGATTTGCAAAGTCTATCTTGGTCCCTGTCATCATTGCTGGGGTTGAGTGGTGTCATTCTTTTATTCCGAATACTTTATCTTGGCGCTTCGCCGGTCTTCAGCATCATTTATCATCTCCTCTTCAACTGCAGTTCAGTCGCACAAAATTCGGCAAATCTCTTGACTTGCCCGGCAGTTGGAACATTCACCACAATGTCGGAATCCGTGGAAAAGCACACGGCTGATACCGCAAATGCTGAGGCGCTCAATGAGGCTCCGATTAAGCGTGAGTTCACCTTCTCTCGCTTGATGCTTATGCTAATGTTTACCAGCGAAATGGAATCGCTCGCCAATTTACAATGCAACCATTCTTGGCCTCTGCAGTTTCGCAGCCCCCGGTCTCTGGGGTGCAATGAACTCCCTCGGTGCAGGCGGCGCTCAGAAACCCTACCTCGTCAACACCGGCAACGCCCTCACCTTCTGTCTCATGATCATTTCGTGCTGGTTCACCAGCGGCATCGTTAAATACGTTGGGATCAAGGGCGCTCTCGTCATTGGAACCATCGGCTTTGCTCCCTACAGCGCAGGTCTCTATCTGAACAACCGTTACGGCGTTGAGTGGCTTGTCATCTTTGGCGCCGCGTGCTGTGGTGTTTCGGCGGGTATCTTTTGGGCAGCTGAGGCGGCGATCGCGATTGGATATCCCGAGCCTAGAAACCGAGGACGCTTGGTGGCGTATTGGCTCTCGTTCACAAGATTGGGACAGATTTTGGGCGGCGCGATCAACCTTGGTCTCAACGCTGATCGGAGTGAGGCGGGCAAGGTCTCGTACAAGGTCTATCTCATCTTCATCGCTCTTCAAGCACTGGGACCGTTTGTTGCGTTCCTTCTCAACAAGCCCTCCCAAGTCCAGCGCGCAGACGGGAAGAAGGTCGACTTGAGCATCCTCGACCATCCATGGAAGGAATTCAAGGCCACCACGCGAACATTCCTCAAAAAGGAATTTCTGCTTCTCATCTTCTGGATCGGCCAAGGAGTCTACTCTGAGTCGGTCTTCTTCACCTACATCGCTCTCTGGTTTAGCGTGCGAGCTCGAGCTCTTGGTTCGTTTGTGTCTGGCATTGTCGCAGTCATTGCAGGAAACCTTCTGGGTGTCTGGCTTGATCAGAACCAAATCGCTCTCAAGAAGCGCGCCCGATATGCTTACGCTGTCATCATGATTCTCCAAGGAGGATGGTGGATCTGGCTCACCATCAACGTCACAAAGTTCAAGCGCGATGGGCCCATCTACGATTGGAGTGATCCTGGTTTTGGTGCCGCATTCGGCGTTTTCGTCTTCCTTGTCACTGGGTTCCAGCTCAACTACAACTTTGCCTTCTTCATTATCGGTCAGATCTCGAACAATTCGCAAGAGACGGTGCGGTTGTCTGCGTTGTTGAGAGGTACGGAGTCAGCATGGCAGGCGCTCAGCTACGGTCTTAATGCTCTTCCGATCATGGCAACTGTGGGAAGCACGTATATGAACTTTGGTATTTGGGCGGTTGCGATCTTTCCTGCTTGGTTGGTGATCCGGCAGCTGGGTACAGTGGACGGACAAGCAAACAGTGACACCGACGAGACGGTTGTAGTGGAAAAGGCGTAGTTTAGACGAGATTCTCCATGGCGGATTTGGGTCTCTGGCACTCTTAGACTTTGGGCATAACTACCAATTGAGACACCTGGCTGAGATCTTATATTTATCCTTGACTGCAAGTTACCCGAGATCACTCAGCCGTTCCTCCACTGTGTTATGCTCGGTAGGAGGTAGTCCGGTAATGGGACTGGCTCTGAGTACTGAACTGGAGTTGGGGCTACCGGTGATTAGTGTTGAAATACCCAGAGGTCTGAGAAGGTTACTTACATACCGCTTTGGCATGGGAAGCCATGAATTTGACTGTTTCATCCCTCAAATCCACTTCAGCTTGCAAACTGATTGCGATTTCGACACGACCTGTTGAGCTCACAGTATGTCGCTGGGCATTAGGCTACCTCGAGTTCCCCCATTGTACCAGGGGCGGCATCCCTGTGTCGTTCATTCATCTGTAGGTACCAACATTAGTTACCGAACAGAGGGCTTCTGCGGATCAAGGATCTTACTCATATCTGAGTCTAAAAAGCTATTGAGAGAAGGAAGTCTAAAAGAACGTCAGTCTCCATCATTTCAAAGAGACTTATGCAGACACTCACTTTGAAGGTTGTGGGTACCTATGGCGCCCTCGATCCTGGGGGCGGTTTCGGGAGAAGAAGGCGCCGCAGCCGAAAGGTTGCAGGCACAGCCTGGTGCCTACTCAAATGGGTCGGTGAAGGACAATTTCGCAACTCATGGCCACGAACAGTGAATACGCAGCCGGATCAGTTGTCATCTGAGACTAAGAGGTACCCTTGGCATTCAAGTCCTGTTGGCCATAATATTGCCTAGTCTTGCGTTTCTATCGGAACAGATAAGGTCAGCATTAGACATCATGTGAGGGGATTATATGGGAACTTACCTGGCCCTGAGGAGGGGCTACCTCGCTCTTGAGCAGAGCCGTCAGCACATTGTCGATAAACTTCACGAATGGTATTGCTTACCGAGGACTTGTTGTTCTGTATTAAAGTTAGCAACATGAATTGGTCTCTGGCATCATTCTTTGACACAAGTGTGGCGGGCAGAAATCAGACCATGGAATACTTACCGCGGGCTTCTTGCCAGCTGTACTATCGTAATGTAAGGGAACCAGAATGTTGACGACTTTGTCCTTGAGGTTGAATCTTACGTTGCAGAGTTTGGTGAACTGCACGAAGGATTAGTTAGCCAGGCACTTTAATAAGCTGAGTGGCGTCTTTGAGTTGCAAGTCAGTCGAAGGAGGGAACTTACAAATCTCGTTGTTGTAATCGTCTACGAAAGTCAAGAATGTTAGCGAGCCACTCGTCTTGTTCAAGTCAACACCGAATAGACCTACGGGCGTGGATAATGAAGACATTTATCGCGAATCACTACGCGTCAGCGGCCAATACCACAGGGGGGGACAAGAATAATAAGTTACGTACGCTATCTTCAATAGTTAGTAGGAGATTGTCGATATTTTGGTCATTCCGTTCGAAATGTCACGAGGAAGGGGATACTCACCGGCGGCGAAAGTTGGCGGCGGCGATCTTGAGTGTTTTGCTTGTCGTGTGAAGTGCAAGGAGTAAATTCTTTCTTTGAACGTGCTTGCTTTTGATACATCGTTGAGATATCGTACCCAAGTATCAGCGGATGATTGACTGCGGCGGGCGAGATGTGGATGAAGACGAGGAAAGGTGACGAAGGAATAAAATCGGAAGGATCAAAGCAGTTTGTGGGCACGGGCCAACAGGGTGTTACACAGGGAAGGGTACGAGGTGAACGCCTGCTCACTGCACTGTCAGATTCAGGTCAGCTATCCGTCTCAAGCGAGACCAGCTGAATCGTGCCCTGGTGTCACCCTTTTTTCTTTCGAAACTGTGATCCTAAACAGACGGTGTTTAGGTAAGGGTAGGAAAGTTTAGGATAATTTGGGATGTATCCTTATGATGACTTATGATAAATTTAGGGAGCAATCTGTCAAGTCTTTACCCATTCCATCTGGTGTTGTACAAGACGCTTACCAAGTCTGTGTTTAAAAACAGACTGGCGTCGGTGGATCTCCATGCCAACGAGTTTAAGGCTGTTTGCCTCATTCAAGCTGGTCAACCGATGTCCGTCTCAGGTGCAGGATGAACAATTCTTTCAGATGAATATTCTAACAATAGATATAACTGAAAAGCTTAGAGAGCTTCTGTCAGATTCCTGTATAAACTTTGATGACTAGAATAAATAATTCATGGGCAACCAATGTTCACCAGTCCATACCAAATGCTCCTCCAAGCCATCCAACCCCTTCATATCAGCCTCCAGAACCTCAAGCCTATCAACGCCTACGCTCTCAATTGTACACTGCTGCTTTGGGAAGTCTTATTGAAGCCCCCTTTTGGGTTCCGTACACAAATTTGAAGCCACAGGACTTTTCCAAATTCCAGCACTTTTTCATGCCTTTAGAGAGAAAATCGGAAAGTGGAACTGATTTGCACCAAGTCACGTTGCTTCAATATTAACTCAGGCTGTGACACTGGCCATATAACTATCACTTGAGTTCGGCTGTTTTCAGAAACTTCAACATTTAGAAAGTGTTCTTTTAATTAACGATCTGACTCTCAAGATCTGTGTTGGAGAACCTCCTGTCGTAGCGGCGAGCGCCCCACTAGCTCGAGGCTCAAATGCAAAGCTCAACAACCGTATTCTAACATTAGCGACAAGAAGCTTGCTATGAATAGATCCGGCTTGTCCACGATGACTATGATGATGGTGAGTCTTTCAACTTATTCAGGACGTTGTAGAAAGACCGCCCTACCCTACAGAAGTGTCATGAGTCGGCGATTTCTTCATTCAGGCTGCCTTGGTAGCCGACGCCAAGAACATCGCTTCAGCTAGGATCCGCAGCCCTGTCACTTTAGCTCCCCGAGCCAAACACTCGTTGGTTGATTTCCATGATCCTAGCCAGCATTGAGGCACAGATCCTTGTATGATGCCTAAATCGTTCCATATTTAACCCAAGGGCAACCAACGAGAGTCTAGATTGTGCTCGTGTAAAATTAGACCGGCCGCTGATGACGGAAACATAAACACCACCTCATTCCCGGCCCCAACGGTTCCCTCTCGTTCTTTGACGGCATTCACTCTTTTCCCATGGCGACGTTCAGTTTATTACAAGCCGCTCTTCTTTTCTGGGTGGCTCTGGCAGCTGCCCAGGGTTCCGACCTCAAGGCTCTCAAACATAAGGGCTGCTATTGGTCGAGACCGACGAATTTTGTGATCGGTGGATTTTCGAAGACCGAGGTTCAGCGCCAGAAGTGTCTCGACACATGTACCCGACGCGGTCAGCAATGGATTGCGTTCGGTTCCATCAACTGCTTATGCAGTAAAACCGCCCCGAGATATCATCAAGTCGACAATAACCGCTGCAATGCGCAGTGTGTCGGTATCTTGGATGGTGACTGCATCAAGCAGCCGAAAAACAACTATGCCTTCGGGGAGGATGACGAACTTTACGCCCTCTTCTCCATCCCTTCCATCGCCAACGACGAAACGAAACGAATTTCATCGCATCACAGACAGGGACCATTGGTTCATGCAACCGAGTCTAAGCAGCTCGCGACAAACCAAGGCAAGGTTGGCAAGATCACAGCACAGGGATGCTACAATATCTCAGGACGTTCGTCAATGCTCATGAAGGTGTTGATTCACGACGATGACTCCCGCCGCGAATGCGCTAAGGTCTGCGCTCAAGATGGAAGGCCTCTTGCTCTTATCAGCGGAAACGAATGCTCCTGCGGTACCATGTATCCTGCAAGAGATGCCGCTGCTGGTTCTGATAAGTGCTACATGCCATGTTTGAGCGACGGCGATGATAGGTGTCAGCGTGATTCTGAGTACAAACCAGCTCGTCATGATGCCTATACCGCTGTTTATAACACCGGCCTTGGTCTTGATGTCGAGACTCTACCTTCTGTTGCTACTGAGTTACCGAGTTCCGAGACAACATCTCCCAAGCATACTGAGCCAAATGGGCATCCCGGACAGGCTTGTTACAGAAGAGTACCCGCAAGTCCCGCATACAAAGTGTTCGCGGACAACAGTCCTATGCTATGTCATCGCTTTTGTCAGCGAAAGAATCATATGTATGCGATCACCTGGCATCAGATCTGCTACTGTAACAACGAATATCCTGATAAGAAAGACGAACTTCCAGATTCTCAGTGTGATATGCAGTGTCCCGGAACAAATCTCTTCAACTGTGGTGGCAATAGCGCGTTCAGTGTTTACAACCTCGGCCCTGAGAGGAGACCTGTCATCGAGCCTAAGCCTATTAGACAGATTGAGCGATGCTTCTACGATATCCCCATGACCGCAAACCATATTTCTCTAGATGCAGGTGCGGTATCAAGGCTCCCTTCATCCTGCATCGACTCGTGCAAAGCCGCAGGAAAAGGGGTTGCTTTCATCAAAGGCTCGCAATGTCACTGTGCCCAAGGCTATCCACGATCTAGCTCCACAACAGACCTTCGCGAATGCCAGATCCCTTGCGCCGGCGATCCTAAGTACTCTTGTGGTGGCTACGTTACTGCAGACACTTTCTCCGCATACAGGACTGGCTACGCAGGCGGGAGATATCGCATCCAACAGGAATCGAACAACAAAGACCATATGCAGAAGCCTGTCCAGGAGCCGAGATTAGGCCGTGTCACATCGCATGGCTGTTACAGTATGCAGTCTGCTACCCTGACTCACAAGAAGCTTGAGAGCATGAATAGCGTCGATCAATGTGCTCGCTACTGCCAACGTGAGGACAAGCCTGTCGCAGCTGTTCAACGTGGTTGGTGCCTGTGCTCTGATACATATCCCGCGAAGAGCGCACTCGTCGATGATTCTAAATGCACGAATTGGTGCCCTGGTTGGTCTCGTGAAGCTTGCGGCGGAAGGAGAACTTGGAGTGTTGTGAACACAGGAATTGCCACTGACGTGGCGGACGATGAGCTCAAGACTGAAGAAGTCGAGCTACCTGCTAAGATCCCGAATCGTCCAACGGAGACCGGACTGTCTAAGCTAAAGCCCCATGGCTGCTTCAGTCTTCCTGGCTTCACATCTTCGTATCCTCCACGCGTCAACATCAGAGGACCTTATCGAAGTTCCAACGGAGATTCTTGCAATCGCCAGTGCACTATCAAGGGTTATTCTGTTGCACTTCGCCATGGATCTCGATGCTTCTGTTCCAACAAGGTTCCAGAGGAATCCGCACGAGTTACCGACGACAAATGTTGGTTTACTTCCATTTTCGACACACGCGAGCAGTGTGGCGGACCAGATGATGTTTACTCTGTGTACCGCCTTGGATCCGACTCGTCGGGTACAGAGGAGAATGATGTTGCTAAGGGCGATAACCCCAGCAACTCTCCTGTGAAACGACCACAGTGTTTGCATCATGGGATGGAGCGCATCTATGAGACTTCATCGTGGGCTATCACCAAGGTTGGCGAGTTTGCTCAGAACGCCCGAGACGGCTTAGCTGGATTCCTTGATAAAGCCCAAGATATCTTCGATGCCTGTCTTTGGAAGGTGATGGTTACGTTCTCAGATGTTATGTATAGTTTGGGATGGAGATCGAGCTCAGGTGACGTTGATCTATAGAATATAGCCATATACAATCTCTTATGTTGTTTCACGAATCTGAATATTTTACACGGATTACCTGCAAATATCCTACAGAGGGTAACTTGTTCCCGCTGAGTGCAATATAATGACTAATGACATTGGTTTGCATTGAAACTAAATACATGAATGTTTGACATGTAGTGGATGGTGTCCTGCACTCCTCATGGTGGCACATAAACAACTCTTTCATCACCCCCTATTGTGAAGAAGAGAACAGTACATCCATCTGGGACTGCATCTTCCATATTGTAGGAGAATTGCTCAGACTTGGCATCAGCAAGATTCTGTACAGCTATAGTAGCTGACTTCCCTCCATTGGACTGAAAGTAGCGCATAAAAACTGACTCGGGGTTTGAGAGATCGTAAGCCCTGAGAATAACCATGAAGTGGGTAACGACATCGTCTGCATCCACAACACACCAATCGATGTTGACCGCGCGATAATCAGCATCGTCATAAACTCTGTAGGTGATTTCGTAACCGGAATTCCCTTTGATGCGCAAGTCATCCCAGTACGCTGCAATGGCCGCCGATGGTAAGCCATTATCGGGAAACGGGTTGTTGGAAGATTGTGTGATGGAGTTGTCAAATAGGCTTATCAGTCCATTGACGCCAACATAGATGGTCTCGCTGGACTCGGTGTATAGTCCAACTGGGAATGGAAGAGTAAGCTCCTCGACTCCATCTTCGTCGTCCTGGTCACCGCTGAATAATACTGTTGGGTTGATGAGGTAGGACTCGCACGCACGAGACGGTGGACTGGTGGTTGTTGTAGTCTCGGCATCTGAGGTTGTTGTCGGAATTTCTGTTGTTATTTCTGATGTGCTCACGGATCCCAACATTGTCGTAGTGCTAGTAGTCCCCATGCCGATGGTAGTCTCCATGTCGGTGGTAGTTTCCATGTCAGTAGTAGTCTTTATGTCAGTAGTGGTGTCTATGTCGATGGTGGTCCCTGTCCCGGAAGCGCTGGCACTGGGTTCCGAGGTGGCCGTTTCTGTCTCTGGCTCTGTCGGTGTTGTAGCCTCTGGGAAGCTGGATGCTGCGTCCTCCGTGGTAAGCTGTGTTTCTGAAGATAATGCGCCAGTGGGCAGGATATCAGCGGTTGTTGCTTCATCTGATGGTGTGAATGTAACACCAGAAATGTTTGTAAAAGAAAAGTCTTCGGATGTTTCGATTGGGATAGTAGGAAACGCGTTGGTAGAAGTATTGGAAAAGCGAAAAGAACTTGTTCGCACAGGTCGTGTGTTTGTAGGTTCCAAAGACGGAAGAATGAGACTCGTAAAGTCTACAAGCGATGTGAAGTCGGGGGGGTTATCAGAAACAGAAGACATGACTGTACTGAAAGGAACGGATGTGACCGCGGAGTTTACTGTAGGTTGCAACGTCTGTAGATCGTTCGACGTAGGGTCAGTGCTGGAAGACGTTTGCCCATCTTCGCACTCATCAACTATAATCAAGGGTTATCTTCTGGTGAAACTTAGAACAAAATGGCCAGCAGCTTACCTCCAACGACGGATAGCCTAACAGACACGCAGCCAGGAGGTGAAGACCTAAAGGTTATGTATACCTGACCAGTTTCTGGGCTCTGACAGAAGCCCGCTTCGCCGTTCGGCAGGTTGGGGCTACGAAACCGAAGGAATCCACCATCACCGGCAAAAGTTGTATCAACAGACCCACGAGGTGGTGTTGCCTGTTGACCTCGCAGTTCCTTGAAGGCTTCGCCGTTGTAGTAAATAGGTCTTCCGCCATCAAGAAGTCGGCCGTTAGAGAGGCTAAACGTAGAAGCATCATGGCATATCTCCGAGGCAGAGCCTATAAATCCCCCAAGCGCTCTCTTTAAACGCCTCCGTTTTGCGTTATCTGTGTCTGGGACGATGCGGAAGACAACGAGCTGGTCGTCAGGCCCGGGCGCTGTTGTTGTGGGATCGGAGTCCGCTGGATCCGCCCCAGTCGTGACCAAGGTTGTAATAAGCTGAGTGGAGTCCTCAGAAAGAGACTGAGAGGGAAGAAAGGTCTCGGTTAGATCGAGAGACGGATCAATGCCAGACTCAAATGTCGTAGAAGCTGTCAAGGTATCATCGGAGATCTGCGACGCGCTGTTCGCGTCATCTGTCGGCACAGAACTCGTAGCATTCGACAATACCGGGACAAGATACGTAGATAGGTACGTTATACAGACTGTATCTGGCTTTTTGACGACATTTTGAGCACTAGTCTGCGCGATGAGACCTGACAGCAGTAATGAAATGAGTCGTCGTGACATTTTGCTGGGTACCAAGAAAAGCAGATTACCGACAGAAAGAAAAAGAGGCGAAGGGTCACATATTTAATTAAATTTCTTGAATATCCACCATCAAGGGAGGATATACTCCGGCCTGTGATGCGAGGAATGGAAACATCTGGTTGATCAGGAGTTAGGAATCGCTAGTTAGTATGTTTGGCTGCAAGGGAGCGACCACTGTCGATGTCTCAGCCTGGGAATGACCTAAATTATAGAGTACTATGGATTTTGTCTCGAGAAAATATGCTTGTATGTTAAGTGAGACATCGTTTTGTAACTATACTGGGTAATGAACGAGAGTCTTTTGCGATACTCTCGAGCCCATCCGGGCGGATGGGCTCGCTACTTTTATTCTAAAGATACAAATGCGTCGAAGTCTCTCAAATAGTGCTTAAACTGGGGTATTACTTGCTGGACATCTGTTTTGAATTGAAACCCCGTGTGTTAATCTGCCTCTATGCATGCTGTTGTACGGAAATGCTAAGGTTGGACATTTGCGCGCCTCGAGAGAGCTTTGGGGAGACACTTAGCACGTGGATTTTTGTCTGACATTACTCGGACTATCATGAATTGAGAGCTGAGAATTCTTGTAAAATGAACATCTTTCCGTCTGATAGTCTTCTGGTTCTCATGTTTGTGCAGTATCTCCCAGGATTGGGTCCCGATTGACAGACAGGGATAACAGAATCAGTAAGAATGGTGAATTAATTAACGTGAGTATCGATAGCCAGCAAGGTCCTGCTATAATTCCTTCTTATCCTTATAACTTCTATCAGCGAGAACTCAAGATCATGTGTCGATCCAATAACTTTTAACCCATCGTAAACTTCGATGAACATATAATCCATAAGCACAACTTGGAAGCTTCCAACAGAACAGAAATGTATTTAAACCCCTCGAAATGATTTCCATATCTCCCTAGAAACCCTTTTTGTAGTTTTGTGTCGTTTTTAGACTCAGTGACCTGTTCCATACCCATTCTGAGCATCCGACAAGAGTTGTTCTCTCTCACCATCGGCCTCCATCTCAACCTTCTTCTCGACAAAGACTCTACCCTTGACGGTGATGAATATGATGAGAATGAGACCAACAAGAGCTCCAACGGCACCCAAGGTCGCGTTGACAGGTGTTGGGTCATTGTGAAGTGGGCCATGCGTGAGTGCATCGAGTCCGGACTGAATGAGCTGCGTGATGCCAGAGACGCAAGTGATGGTTCCGTAGATGCGACCGAAAGTAGCGAAGCCAAAGACTTTGGTAGCGTAGTCACTAAAATACAGGTCAGTGATTAGAACTTATGAGGTTCATTGAAAGGGGAGGGTACTTACGAGACGGCAGAATAATACAGAGGACGGAAAAAGACAAAAGCAACGACTGTGAAGTATCCAGCCATGATATTCGGAATACAGTTCAAGACGCCAATCACGATGATGAACACCGTCAAAACAGCAAAGGTAGTAGGCACACTAAGGTTATTGAGCAAGATGCCAATGAATGGGGTCGCAGCAACGCCTCCGATAGGCAGGGCAGCGTCGAAGAACTCGTTGATACGTTCAGCGGCTTTGTCAGAGTCCAACATGTATCGGTACTGCGATCTGACACCGGCGATGAAGTAGTTCATTCGGATCATCTGGAGGATGGTCAAGACAAGAATGAGGATGAACCAAGGCGTCATCATCTGCTTGTGGGCCGGCATCCCGTGGAGAACACCCCATACACCGCTGGTTTCTTGTCGGCCCTCCTCTTCTTTGACGCGTTCGCCTCGTTCTTGGCTATCGCCAGCGAGTTCCTCAATCTTCTCAAGCTTGGCTTTTCTATGGTCGGCTCTAGCACTTCGAATGCGGGTGAGTTTATTTGTATCATCAATCTCTTCGTCCGATTCGTGAACATCGCGAGTGCGGTCTTGAGCGTGCTCGATCTTTATCTCAAGTTGCGGAAGGGTATGGTACGAGTGCGCTGGCATCCAGAGGAATTCAGCCAGTAAAATGGCTACCGGGACGGAAATATAGCCGTAGAAGAACTTGTCGAGCGAAAATGATCCACCGGATGCTTCATAAGCCATGCGATAGAACAAAAACACTGCAGCCGAGGCATCAAAGGCTCCGGTGACGAGCGCGACAATGAGTCCAGAATATTTGGGAAACGCGTTCGAAAGTTGGTAACTAGAAACGAAGATAAATGTACCGCCGAAAGCGAGAAGGATGTTACCAATGAGGTATCCGTGGAAGCCGGGATGTGAGAATGAGATGGCCATCATCAGCGAACCGAGGGTGAGCAGAACACTCGAGACCAGCCAACATACTCGTCGACCGAAGCGATCAAGGACAGCGCCAGCCAAAAGAGAAGAAACATTCGCAGAGATTGAAGCAGAGATGAACAAAAGGTTCAAGCGCATGTCTTGCTCAGCGCATGGGATCCTGTAGTCCACCACGGGGCAGAGTTCGGAATAAATGCCCTCCTTGACGAGAATTGGCTTGAGGGCGGCGAAACCAAAGACAATACCTGCTGCAAACCAGCATGCAATTATACCAGTCGCTACCTGAACTGCGAAAAGTTAGTGATGCCTCTCAATTGGGCCAACCGATTGACTCACTGTAGCGCTTGAGGTTGGAGACCTTGTAAGCCGCGATGTTGGGCAATTTCTTAGCAACCTCAACAGGCGCAAAGCTCAATCGTCGCCATTCTGATCGATCACCGCTTTGATCGCATTCATCTCCAGGAGCAATAATATTTCCCGTCCCGAAGCCAGGGGAAACATTCGGATGACTCGGACCTTCGTAGTTGGGATTCGCTGGGCCTTCATAATCGAAGCCCTCAGTCTGGGTTACATGCTGAGCGAGAGACATTTGCGCGTCCGTCAAGAAAAGCCACTACCCAAGCACAAAGTAAACAAGAAAAAAGTTGAACACAAATCGAATTGATAAACAATTAATTAAATCCGGCCGATTATTATTTATTACCAGATGCTGGGCAAAATGCGGTCAGGATCACAATGTTTCGGTGACTTTCTTCCGTGTACCGTTGCAGGTGACGTCAATTAGATCTCATTGTCAGAGCATGTCGTTATCGGGCGATAAGACTATTCTAGTCTTGGGAATACAAGCGAGGGTATTCGCAGACTGTGAGACTGTGGAATCGAATCGAATTGAGGAGCCTCAGGCATTTTTTGTTTGACGCGCCACGCAATTCCACGTTGTTTGCTGTTGCTTGCCGTTGTGAAGTTTCGCGAAGCTTCCCCGCCAGGGCCACTACACTACAGCTACAGGGGTATCGTATCATTGATGGTACCCTACACCAGCCGCATCATGTTGGTCGCCGCGACTGACCGATCAATTGTGAAGTCTGAATGGTCAATTTCTTTCACGACATCCGCAGCTGATTGGGTTTTTGTGTGCAGTCTGGAAACCTCGTTTTTGCTACCTTGGACAACTGACAAAGAACGATGCGCATGGTGGTTTGTCTTTAAGGACAAGCATCAGTCCCCAATTTCGACGCGAAAGGTCAGTTCCAGCATCACGAGGAGGAGAATGGCTGTGAAACCCGGAGCATCCGTGTCGCGTTGATGCGACTTAAATACCTAGATAATATTGGGTGTTAATTAAGGGGAGACCGTAGGTTCTTATGTCAAACTTTTTAATGAAACCAAGGCCAAGAACCTAACGTACTTATCGTTCAGCTTAACCTTTCAGCGTTGGCTGAAGCAGTTTTTTTGAGGTTATGAGATAAATTCTTTCATTACCAACAGCGCCCGATTAGCCTAAATGGTTTACATCGTCTTCTCCATGACGATGTAGTTTATTTTCTGGGTCGTTGAATCAGCCTATATTACAGAATCAGCCAGTTCGGAGTTGCATCAAGACCCCTCATTCTGCAGGTTCAATGCACTCTTCGACAAGATCGTCATGCTACCAACAAGGGTCAAGATCTAGCGCTCGAATCGGCATCATCAATCACGAACGATTTGTTCCCCGGGGATCGTAATTCAGCCGTTTCCTCCCCCGCATTTGCCTGAATTTATCTCATGATCGACGTCTTGGAAACGCATAATAATGACGGGAAGCTCTTGCGATTGAAGTGAAGTCTGGTGCAATGAGTACAATATCTGTTAAGTTGGTTCAAAATGCGCTTCTCTTGGATATTGTGCCCACTTCTAGCAATGGGAAGTGCTCTTCCTGAAACGAAGACGGATGTTTCTACATACACCAACCCTGTACTTCCAGGATGGCACTCAGACCCATCATGCATTCAGAAAGATGGCCTCTTTCTTTGTGTCACCTCAACTTTCATCTCTTTCCCAGGTCTTCCCGTCTATGCTTCGCGGGATCTAGTTAACTGGCGTCTCATCAGTCATGTCTGGAACCGCGAGAAACAGTTGCCGGGCATTAGCTGGAAGACAGCGGGACAGCAGCAAGGAATGTACGCTCCAACCATTCGATACCACAAGGGAACATACTACGTGATCTGCGAGTACCTAGGTGTCGGAGATATCATTGGCGTCATCTTCAAGACAACCAATCCGTGGGATGAGAGTAGTTGGAGTGACCCTGTTACCTTCAAACCAACACACATTGACCCCGACCTCTTTTGGGACGATGATGGAAAGGTTTATTGTGCTACCCATGGAATCACTCTACAGGAGCTTGATTTGGAAACCGGAGAGCTTAGCCCGGAGCTTAACATCTGGAACGGCACAGGGGGCGTATGGCCCGAGGGACCCCATATCTACAAGCGTGACGGTTACTACTATCTCATGATTGCCGAAGGCGGAACTGCCGAGGACCACGCTATCACAATCGCCCGAGCACGCAAGATCACCGGACCATATGAAGCTTATAAGAACAACCCAATCTTGACGAACCGCGGAACATCTGAGTACTTCCAGACCGTTGGCCATGGTGATTTGTTCCAAGATACCAAGGGCAACTGGTGGGGTCTCTGTCTTGCTACTCGCATCACAGCACCTGGAGTCTCGCCCATGGGCCGTG